CTTTTATATCTCTGTCAAGTAAAAAACAAACTATGAAACAAAAAGATTATTTCAGCTATCTCATATTTTCAAATCCTCATAGCTAAACTACACCTCCAAGACCCCACACCTCTCTACAGTGTTATGATTTGAAGTCTGTCCCCTACAAAAGAGATCCTGAAATTCTAACCCTATGATACCTCAGAATATAACCGTATTTGAGAAATGGGGTTGTTGCAGTTATAATTAGCTAACTTAATCCAAAATGGCAGGTGTGCATATAAGAAGAAAGAAATTTAGACAGAAGCACAGAGGGAAAATAGCCATGTAAAAACAGAAGCAGTGATTGGAGATATGTAAACACAAGCAAAGGAATGCTGGGTCTCCCAGAAGATGGAAGAGGCAAGGAAGAATCCTTCCCTAGAAGCTTTGGAGGGAGCATGGCACTGCTCACATCTTGATTTCGGACTTGAACTTATAGAACTGTAAGACACTAAATTGCTGTTGCATGGTACGTTGTTATGGCAATCCTAAGAATCTAGCATAACACAGGTCACAAGTTCAGTAATCTTCCTGCTTTCTGACCTTGGGATTCATTTTCCAAAATTATGGCTCTGCCCAACCCTTAAACTTAAAACTGCACGTTTTCTGGCTTTGAGTCTTTCTTTCTTAACCATAATTAATGATCACCCTCCAATAATTTTATGAAACACAAGTGTCCTGGTGCCAACCAATTCTAGTGTGCAGAGACAACTGCTAAATTTTTGAGAATTTCGCAAACTGGTTCCTAAACACAGCCATTATTTTTAAAATTGCATTGTATAAGCTTTAATACAGGGAAACTAAAACAAAGTTCATAAAGAATAAAAACTCATCACTTCCTAATTACTTGAATACATTTTACTACTCTCTGTGCCTACTACTCTTTATGCTTTTGAGGTTATTTATGTGTGTTTTAAGTGCATAGTGGAAAGACTATGTAATGCTGAATGACTTCCCATTCTTTCCCAACTCACACTGGTAGCTTACTATCAGCCATGATGAGAGTATTTACACCATGAATGTTGCTAAAAGCTACAAATCAGTTATTTTTATATTTTCAGAGAGTTAGTTGCAAACATAAACCAACACAGCATTGAAATAACCTAGCAAGTCCATTCTATAGGTCAAATTGGAATGGCTGTAGAGGTTAGCTTAAGAGATCTCTTTTCTTGGTCCTGCATTGCACCTTTCAGTAGGAATATAGAGCTCACGATAACAAGAAAAAGCAAATGAAGGATGCTATTACAAATAATGAAGGCAGAGAGATTTGACAGGGATTGTGAAGAGGGGATAAGGAAGACTTAGATGCTGGTGACCTACTTTTAGTATTGTCTACTAAATCCTCAGGGAAGTGTTTAGCTCTGATTATAAATATTAATTAGATTTCAATTACAGATTATTTAAAGGGTCTATACACCTTAGAAAGAGATTTCAGATAGATTGATTGTTAGGTAGATATAGAGATAGTAATATGTATATATAACATTCTCATGTTCAAGTGGTTCAAGTTGGTAATAACTAGATGATTTCACTTAGTAAAACAGACCTAAGACAACTATAAAATTATAGGTAAATTAAATGACTCTATAAATAAGCAGGATAAAACCTTAGTAACTTTAGCAGATACGTAATTTCACCGTATATGGATAGGGTCAACATTCTTTAGCTTTGCTGTAACATCTTCCTTGTTATGCATATAAACTGAATAAAAATATTTGTAGAAGCAGCAGCTCTACACATTTAAAAACAAAAAGTCAAAGAACCTGATACTCATTAAATAGTAGCTTCCTAAAATTCTTAAGGGTAATTTGAGGCTGTTGGCTGCTTGATATTATTCTGCATTGTGGGGAGTGGAGTCTCAGGTAAGAGACTCCTAGCCCTTGAACTCTGTGCCAGTAAGAGCTGGGAATGCTGCAAACTTGCAATCAGTGCCAGAAAGAAGGTGGAAGGCCTTTCTTCTTTTAACCACAGCAGATGCCAACAGCAGATTAAGGAGTGTTGTTACCCACACTACGTGAAGCCTTGTTGAGTCTACTCTTGCTGCAAATACTGGGTCTCAAACCAGGAAGTGTTCTAAGTGTGGAATGTGTGAAGTGTGCATCACATCAGTCTGTTGTGACTGAGGCATTCTTTCAAAACCTGTCATCTGAGTCCAACAATGTTCTTATTTAATTATCCACCAGTTGTTTACTTTTTTAAAAAAGATAAATAGGAGGCTCCCTTTCCTTCTTCATGAACATGATCTAACTAGGGAAGAAACTCGGTCTCTTAAAGTCCTCCACAGTTTCACACTCATTTAGATTCCTTGTGCATTTTAATAGAAAAAAAAAGGAAAATCTAGCTCACGCATAAGGTGGTCTACAAAGGAAGCATATAATAAAGTATAAAAAATTACAGCACAAATAAAAACAATACAATAACAATTTTTACAATTTTACTTTGCAATGTATTAGGCTTGGAGAAATACTGTGAATTTAGATGGCTGTTAGCATGGCAAATGCTATTAATCAAAGAAACAGAGGTAGTTAGAGATGGACAAGAAAAACAGGAGCAGCAACACAGCACTGCTAAGAGTGATGACTCAAGAATTTTTCCCTGTCTTTCTCAGTTCTCCCTATGTTCCCTCTCCCACTTGTTGCTGAACTCACTTCTACCCCAAGCCCCCATCGTGGACTTATTACTGCAGAGACTTCTCAACTGATTCCCCAAATCAAGCTGTCATTAAATTATTAGGCTAAGAGCAATTGGAAAACATCTCACATATTTTTATCCTTGTTGTTTGTGGGCATTTTTGTCTGTTTTTTTTTTTTTTTTTTTTTTTTGAGTCAGCTTCTTACTCTGTCTCACAGACTAAAGGGCAGTGGTGCAATCATAGCTCACTGCAACCTTGAACCCCTAGATTCAAGTAGTCTTACAGACTCAGTCCCCGACCCCTGACCTCTTAGTTAAGACTACAAGTGCATGCCACCATGCCTGGGAAATTTTTAAATATTTTGAAGAGGTGGGGTCTCGCTATATTGCTCAAGCTTACATAGTTTCTTGAGAATCTTGAAAATAAACAAAAATCATGGTCAAGAACAAAAGTAAAAAAAAAAATTATTTCCAAATAGTTTGAGTATGAAATGTCCCCAGATTAAACCACATAAAGCAGTTATGGTATGATTAACAACAATCTATTATAGACCCATAAACATTCAATGATTTTAATATATTCTGAAAATTAACTAAAACATCATTCAAAATGTCTCCATTTTAAACTAAAATGTCAATAGGCATTTAACTGAAAAAATTTTGAAGGCTTGACATACTAAGCTTTTATTCAAAAGTTTTCATTTGTTTTATATTTCACAAAGGGTTACTTTACTATACATCACATTTTTACTCTCAGATGAGTTTCTTCTGCAGACTTCCTTAAAAAGCAAATACACACACACACACACACACACATATGTTACCTTCAACCTCAAATACTGATTTTATAGTCTGTGATTCATAGCAAAGGAGGTGTCCCATTTTTCTATATTGACACATGATCATTTGACAGTTTTTTTTTTTTTTTTTTTTTTTTTTTTTTTTACTGACCAAGTTCAAGCTAGATATCAGCATCTATAAACTGCTCTTAGCCCGATGCTGAACTTTGTAAGGGTTTTGTAATAATAAACTGTTCTTGACTGAAACACAAGCCTTTCATAATTACATGTCACAGTGCAATTCTTATGCAATGAGCTTGTGGTTTTCCAAATTTAGGACCAAGCATGTAGTTTTATCAGTGAGTTGAGATTTGGTCTTGTTTTCCCTGGATTCTATAAATGGTAATTCTAACTTTTGAAATGGGTCACCTAACTTATAACTATTTTCTTCATTTCTTTTTAAGAGGGAGAAATAACATGCAAATTTCTACCATGTTAATAAGAAAGTTTAGCAATTTTCTCTCTGACAGGAAATATTTCATTCAGAAGGCCTATGTTTCCTCTCTGTATTAGGTTTCCTAGAGTACGATATGATTAAAAATAAACTCTGAGATGTATATACCTATGTTCTTTCAAGTGTACAACCTGAGTGATGTCTCTGGAAATAGAGCCTGGGAGTGATCAAGAACACAAATACTTATTTGTCACAGAAATAGAGGGGTCCATACTTTGAAATATTTCAATGAAAACCAAAAATTGTAGTTTGCTAGATAGAAATTAGTATCCTCTACTTAAGCATTTTTGAAACAAACTCAATGCTGATTCAAATCTGTAATCCATGTAGCTCATTATAACTTGCTTGGTAGAAGTATCTCAGATTAATGGATGGTACAATTGTACAAATTAAAAAATTATACAATTTTTCAAATATACAATTAATTGTACAATTTGTATCATTGAAAAATATCTATAAATTAATTTATAAATTATCAAAGAGGAAAACATTTTAAATTGTTATTCCCAATTTTTTTTCTTATATTATTAAAATAAAAGTAAGTATCTCAGCAACTGTTCCCTCTTAAAATTCCACTGCTATCTCAGCAGTTACACTAGTTATTCTGGTTATTTAATTCTTCACTTTTGCTTGCAAACTGTAACAGTTGGTAGGATAATTAATTTTGATTTTACATTTCCACTGAAGTTTTGATGAAAACTGTTTCACTCTTTTTATTAGTATAAAATTATTAGGAAAGGCTTCTAAAAAGAGATTTTTTTTGGTTTGCTTTTCCTTTGAGGAAGGTAGTGGGATGGGAAAAGAACAATACCAAATATAAAGTCATTCCTCTATCTCTTAGTTTAAAATCTGTTTTAAAGGTTGTAGCTACCAGGCAATTTAGTAGGGAAAACTGCAAAATCAAATACCCTAATAATACTGGCACTCCTAACTAAAGCAGGACATTGAAACTCTACTACTAGCGGCAGGGTTGGGAAAATCCGCTTTACTCTTATTGTCTGTGATATACGGTACAAGGGTTGGCCCTGGTTTGGTCCACCTGCCAGAGGAGTTTAAAGTTTCCGAAGCTTAGAGGAACACAATGACTTGGATCAAACAGCCTAAATGGGAAGAAGGGCATTTTTGCTGCATCAAGGAAGCCGTTAAAATCCTGCTAAGCGAACTAGCTCTTTTTTATGCGTCCATGCACAGGACCGAATTCCTCTTTCACTGACCGGAGATTTCTGACAATCCAGGATATCCCGAAAGCCTGGAGACATATGGCTGGAAAATGAAACGACCCAGGACATCGTTTGTAGCTGCATTATTATTTTGTGTCGCGTAGTACCAGATGGGCAGTCAGTGAACGGCGCAGGGATGTGAACGGACGGTTTAATAATGTGAAATTTTTCCCCTGGTAAAACTAAAACAGATTCTCATTTCCCTCTCTTTTCTTTCAGTGCTTGCTTCCCCCCCCCCCCCCACCCTCTGCAATATCAGTGAACTCAACTTTGCAGTGAGGTGGCCAAAAAGAAAGAGAATGAGGCGGTCTAGACCATCTTAATGTCGGAGGAGTTGTGGCGGCCGGCGAACTGCAGCTGCGACCCCCCGTGTCCTGTGCGGATTTCAGGGCTGACACTGCGCGGGTGGTTATGGAGAGGACGGTGCCCCGGAGCCGCGGAGGATAGAGACCCTGGCGCCCCGAGAGGTCTGCTGATCTCGCGGCAGCCTTCGAGGCTGTGGCTGCCTCTCGTCTGCTTCGTTTTATTACCATTATCGCCATTCTCGAAAAGTCATGGAAGACAGCCCGCTGCCAGATCTCAGAGACATCGAGCTGAAGCTGGGGCGCAAAGTACCTGAGAGCCTAGTGCGCTCTCTCCGTGGGGAGGAGCAGGTTCCCAGGGAAAGAGACACGGACCCCCGCGGAGGGAGCGGTGGCGGCTGCAGTAGCAGCAGCAGCTGCTGCAGCTTCCCTCCCTCCTTGTCGTCCTCCTCTTCGTCCTCCCCAACCTCTGGCTCCCCACGAGGTAGCCACTCCAGCGCCCTGGAGAAGCTAGAAACCAAGCTACACCTCCTCAGGCAAGAGATGGTGAGTATGATGCGCCAGCCACAGGGGCCGGGACCTGGGATGGGCCAAAATATGGGGCGATTTCTCAGGGGTTGGGAGAGAGGACGGCAGGGGCTGCAGAGCCGAGCGCGAGCGCGGGCGCGTGGGAAATGCTGGGTGGAGGAAGGCGCAGGGGGCGCTCAACCGGAGGCAGCTGCAGCGAGGCTTGTTTACCACGGACTTTGCTCGGTCACGATTTGCAAAGACAGCACAGTGGGCTGAGGGCTCCACTCTGTGTACTTTCGGACAGCGCTGAATCACTGCGCTGGGCTCTGCCTAGTTAGCTGCCAGCCCGCAGCCTCTGGAGCAGCAGCCCGCTGAGAGTTTGCAGTGACTGCACCCATCTAAGGCCTCCGGTGTGCCGTTAATACTTCGGGTAGGTTCCAAAGGTGGCTCAGTCCAATGCACTTACTGCAAAAATACTTCCTGGTTTGCCAGGAGGTGGCGTGGCAGGGTCCTTGGGAACCTCCCTCCGAGCTCACCCTTCCACCAGTACCGCTCCGCCCTCCCTCCCTTCTTGGTGCAGCAGCAGCAGCTGTTTCAACAGATTCTCCACAGCTGGTTCTGAAAACAATGGCCCACTCGTCCTTGATGTACTTATGAATAGCTTGTTTCACTGTTTTGATCCCTACGAGCAGGTGATCCCCAGGCCAAGAGATTTGCTAGGGACCATCTCCTACCCTTCTCCCTCAAGTCTCAATCTGCAGTTGTTTTCCCTGCTGTTTGCAAACGTTAGCCTAAGCATAGGATGAGACAAGTACAAGGTTAAGAATATTCACTCTGGATGCATTTAGCTTAAGACACTTATTTACTTGTCATGAGCTCTTGGGCATGTCACTTCACTTTTGTAGACCTCCGTGTATTTCATGAGCTGGTTAGAGAAAATGATCCCTCCCTAGGTCCTTTGAAGAAAATGATCACAAAGCAAAAGCATTTCCTACCAGCTTGGAGATGAGGAAAATTGTAATAGTGGGCCTCAAAAAGAGAGAATACTTTCATTATATTAACTTCACAGTTGCTTTTGACTTGCTTCAAAGTAGGCTAGGAGATTTCTAGCACTCAGACAGAAATGCTGGAAATCATTTCCATCATTCTATCATGTAGTTATCATAGAGTTCTATCATTTGGCGATTATTATATTTTAGGTTGGATAATTAAGGAAAACCCTTAGGTATGTAATGGAGAAGCTGGAAAGTGGAAGGTATCTTGATGAGTTTGAAAAATAGATGGAAAGACTAAATGGGAAAGATGACAAAGCAACAGGTCACAGAGTGCCCGATGCCATATCACAAAGAGCACACATATATGTTGAGACAAACAGGTAAAACTATTTTTCACAGGAAATGTGTCTTGTACAAGGAATTAAGAATGTTGCTAACTATGCAAAACTTAATATGAGAGAGAAAAACTTAATATGAGAGATAAAGACATCAAGGAGATGAGGAAAGTTCACTCCTAACCATGTCTTCTGTAATTTTGCCCTTGGAATGTTCATATACTCACTTAGTCTAATAAATAAATCTTGTTGATACTTATTTTCTTACTCAGTAGCTCACTTACAGCACAGCAAAGGCAACAGTGTCATTTTGCTGGAAACTCAGACACAACTTGGAGTGTTCATATGTAACTTGAAAACAGTAACATTCCCCAAAACCCATGAACCCCACCCTGCCCCAAGGAATGACTGGTATATATATGAAGATCATTTTCTGACAAAAATAATTACATTCCATTTAGGGTGCATAATCATGCTGTCCTTTAGAGAAACAACAAATGCTGTGAGAATTTTTAAACTGATGATGTTTATTTCCCTGATAATATAAGAGTACACCTTTTACCTTCCATTGTGGTGACTCACAATGAGTCTTTTTTATAGGTTGGTGCAAAAGTAATTGCTGTTTTGCCATTACTTTTAATGGCAACCACAATTACTTTTGCACCAACCTAATATTTATTAAGACTTCAGTTTTTTGAGACACAATTTCTGAAACTGGGATTCATGATGGGAGTCTCTAAGGTCTCTGATAATTTGTCACATTTATTGTTCTTTGGAGAGTATTTCCTCACTACTCAAATGGTGGTTCTCTGGTTTGGCAGAAGCTTCATAAGCTTTGGAGCTAGGTAAGCCAGGGTTTCAGACAAGTCTAGAGCAAGTCAGGATATCAATAAAGCCGAGTAGGATGTCAGGGCTGCCAGTCTAGATAGATAGACTTTTAGCTTAGCTTCCCTGGCAAAAAGGCTGATCCAGCTCTCTGTGGCCCTCATTCCAGTCTTGGCTTTTTCACTCACTACTGCGGGGCATCAGACAAGTTATATAACCACTCTGAGACTCAGCTTTCTTGTTAACATAGGAATAAAACATATCCTAAGGCAGGCGTCCCCGAACTTTTTACACAGGGGGCCAGTTCACTGTCCCTCAGACCGTTGGAGGGCCGCCACATACTGTGCTCCTCTCACTGACCACCAGTGAAAGAGGTGCCCCTTCCCGAAGTGCGGAGGGGGGCCGGATAAATGGCCTCAGGGGCCGCAGTTTGGGGATGCCTGTCCTAAGGCATTGTAAGAATTCAGTGAAATAAGAAAAACAACTATTACATAGGCATTTAAAACAGTAAGAATGCTGGCAGTAATGAGGATTATGTCAATGACACGGGTTCTGTTGATCTTACAAAACCAGCCCTAGACGGATAATGTGGCTTTGGGACTGATGAAGATCTAGGCATCTTCTCCACCAGACTGACTCTATCATGGCATCTCCCGTGTCATCAGATACTCTCTGTAGAGACTCTGTTTCTAAATAAAAAAAGATAACATGTAGGCTTCCCTAGCTTCAGGTCAACTGGAAATCTTGATTTTTATTTTAGATTTAGCTGTTATCAAACATATGCTGTGTGCTAAGCATGCTGCTGATTGAGGTAGCAGGTATTAAAGAATTGTAGATCGTAACGTCAGGTAGCCCAGGAAATCTGAGGAACTGAAACTAACACAGTAGCCCACTTTATCCATGGGAGATATGTTCCAGGACATCCCATGGATGCTGGAAACTGTGGATAGTACCAAATCCTATATAGACTGTTTATTCCTTTACATAGGTACCTATTATACAGTTTGATTTATAAATCATTCAGAGTAAGAGATTAACAATAATAACTAATAATAAAATAGAGCAACAGTATACTCTTATGGGAATATTCTCTCTCAAAATACTATAATATTTTCAGACAGATGACTGTATGTACCTAAAACTATTAAAGCAAAGCCATAGATAAGGTGGTACCTACTATATTTGATTACTTTGGTGAGACTTTTCTATGTGTTGGACACTATACTAAACATTTTATATATATATCAACCTGTTTAAGTTTTATACTCTTTTAACTAAATGTAATTGTCACCACAGTTTTATAAAGCATTAAGCTTTATTGAGCTTAATGCTCAAGATAGTAAGGGGAAGGGCCAGGTTGAGGTTAGAATCTGAGATTTTATAAAACCATGGCTATCCTGTCACTTCTTACACTTTAGAAATCCCCTATGCTCATGTGGACACCCAGGAATAAATGAATATTTCTGCTCTTCTTCCAGAATTTCACAACATTAACATGTTAAACTATATTTTTGTTTACTGCAAGCCTTCCCAGGAGGAACAAGTACTAAACAGTCTCTGGCTTAGTGATACTCAGGATTTGGATGCACATAATTCAAAAGTCATCTGGTTCCCAGCAATCACGATCATATCCTTTCCTTTTGGCCATTCTCCAAGGTCTCCAGTAGTACTTCTTGTCAGTCCACAAGAACTGCCGTGAGCAATTAAAGGTTCTCCTGACATGACTAGTTCAAGGCTTAGAGCTCAATAATATTCATGATGTAGGAATATCAAGAGCTTTCCTTGGCAGTATTTTAGTTCCCCAAGAGATTCTGTTCAGGACAAAATTTAGACCTTAGGTAACTCACTACAAAGAACTAGAAAGTTGGAATCCTGACACCAACTTGTGTTCATTCAAGCAGTACTTTCAAATTGCTGTTCTTCAAACAGGAGCTCAATTATCCTCCTCTTCTCAAATGATATCAGTTGCAAAGCAACTGGACTACCAAGTAGAGACTCTTGTTCTCTTACTCTACCCTAAAGGAACGAGTTTCTCTCTCTGTGCTGAGCTTCCTAGAGCTGGAGGAAGGGTGACACAAGCACCTCTGTGGCCATCACTACTGCAACTGTGCAGAGTCAGACCTAAAGCCAATGCAGTACTTGGTCTTGACGCAGGCCTTTGGAAACTGTTGCCTGGCCACCACTGATGTTTATTTAGGGTCCAAGGGCTCTTTAGTCAGCAGGTGGTGAATCACTCCAGGCGTCTTTGTCCCTTCAAGGTGGCGAGTTCCCTTCTGGCCCAGGTTGGGTGTAGAAATGCTGTCTGAGAGCAAGGGTATGGAGTCGGGAACTCTAGGAATTCAGAATCTACTTGGTGCTTTATTTTACTGCAGCTGAGCTGCAACCCTAATTCTGAGACAAAGTCTTTTTCACTCTTCTCTCTCATTTCCTCAAGCAGAAGGAATTTCCTCTCATGGCCACTACTGCCCTAGGCCCATGATGAGTGCTGCCTGGCTACCACTGGGGTTTATACCAAGGGCTCTTAGTCAGCTTTTGGTGAATCCTGTCCGGTCTGGTTATCTCCCTTCAGGGCAGTGGGTTCCCTTCTGGCCCAGGGTGTGTCTAGAAATGTTTGTTGTCTGGGAGCTAGGGCCTGGCATGGGGGCTTCAGGACTCTGCTTGGTGTTTTATTTTACTCTGGCTGAGCTGGTACCAAGTTACAAGACAAAGTCCTCCTTACCCTCTTTTCAAACAGAAGTGTCTCCACTGAAACCGAGAGCTGCTGTGTCTGGGGCTGGGGGAGGGGGTGACACAAGCACTCCCTTAGCTGCCCCAGCTGATGTCTCACTAGGTCCTGTACACCCTAAGTTCACCAGCTCTGAGCCCAGCACAGCACCAGAAC